TGGAAATAGTGGCCTTTTAATGGAAATAGTGGCCTTTTAATGGAAATAGTGGCCTTTTAATGGAAATATAGTCATTTTAATTGAAATGTGGAAAATTAGAAAAGTTCAAAATCATTTTGAAGTCTTCCTACAGTTAGTGTTTACAAGATAGTTTTTTTCTTAATGAAATCTGTTCTTCAAAGACCATCATGAAATAGTCATTTACAATTTTTTGAAAATCAGTTATTTTCAGGTAATTTTGCACAAAATGTGGTCAATTTTTAAACAATTATTTTGTCAAAAATGGATCCAATTTTTTCGTTAAAGTTTTCCTTGGATATGGCAGAGGATAGTTAAGAAAATGGTAATGCTCCCATTTTCTGCAAATTTTCTGTTTTCAAAAGTTACTAAAACTTAACATGGCAAAACTACAATATTGATGACAATTTTTTTTCTTAAATAAAATTGGTTCTGAAACATATCTTTAAATAGGTTCAGCTACAATTTTTTTAGAAATCAAGTAGATTTTGTGTAAATTTTGTTTGTAGTTAATTTTTAAAAAAAAAGCTTCAAAACTGCTCCAATTTATTTCCTTGGATAGAGTGAGCAATGCTTTAAAAATTGTGCGAATATAATTTTTTGTTGAACATTCTGAATATAAGAAAATTGAAAAAGTTAAAATTTAAGTAAATATGTGGTAGTTTAATAATTCTATAGTTAATGACCTGTAAGATGGAGGATGGTACACTAGCAAACACTGGTTTAAAATTGAAATATCATTATTAATCAAATTAATAATACACAATTTTTTCAATAATTGTGAATGAATTGAACAAAATGTATGTATTTTGAAATCTTATTAATTGTAAACTTGTAGGCATTTAATATTTAAACCTTGAAGCTATGTAAAATTTTAGCTCATTGTATCATGTTTAATGGACAAGGATCGTTAATTAACGTCAAACCTCAATAAGGAAATTTTAAAATGGAACTTGTTTTCTCCCATATGAAAACAAGATTTCTGTAATCATGTCAGGGAGTAAGAATGTAAGTCACGACATCAAATTTCTGAAATGTAGACAGAAACATTGCAAAATGCAAGTTATTCATAGATCTGAAAGTATACTTATGATTCAAATTTTTTCTACTTCAGATTGAACGGAACAATATAAGATATGTCCAGAACTGAACCTCAATTTGACCCTTTAAACCTTTGTAACCACAATAGATGTGTGGTCTCTAAAATGTGCAGACCCGTTAAGATGGCTTGGCTTATCGAATAAATTTGAATGTTTGCTGATGATATGAAGACTGAAATTCATGCATGTATTTCAATTTAAAATTACTTCACAAGTGTACAAAATTCAGGAATGAAAATAATGAAAAAGAGAACTCGTTAGAAAGTCATCGTAGATACAATTTAAATGTTTCAAGGAAGGGCAACAATCTAGTGAAATATTATAGCAACTGTTGTTGTAAGTGTTGAAAATCAGGAATAGGATTAGTTATATAATTATATTGTTGTTTCCAATACTTAAGCACTTGAAAAACAATGCATTAGTGAAAAGCTGAATTACAGAGAATTTAATATTTTGGCTCCCAGTATTACCAAATAATATTTATTTGTTTATTTGTCTGCCTCTTGTGTTGTCCTAACTGAGTGAAAATTATGAGTGTAATTATCAGAGAATTTAGTTTTACTGTGCATTGTACCAGGATTCTTGTAGATGCATAAAGTACAATATCACCTCTGTGGATTTACCATCCTTATAATTAAGTAAATGTTAATTAAATTAAATGTTTTGGTATTCAACGAACATAATGATTACTAATCACCTACTAAGATTCACTTATTTCTCTAATTACACAGGCACACAAAATAAAAAACGTCAGACCAAAAGACTTTACTCAGGTTTCTCTATGCATGTCAATGTGCTGAATCCAAATCTGAAGTCAGAATTGCATCACCACCTTCCAGTTCTTTTTAAATTGCAAAAAAATGCATGCGAACACTATATTTTGGTGTCTTGTAGCATTATACTGTAAAGAAGCCAATAGTTGTCAGACACAAAACTTGACACCTGTGCCTATGTCGACATGCTGCATCCAAAACCAGAATTCCTTCACCACCTTTCAGGTTTTTTTAAATTGGGAAAGACCCCTGTGAAAGTTATAATTTACAATTCCACAGTGAGTTTTTGCGAGAAAAAAAAATGGAGGGGCAATTCTAGCATCGGATTTCGATTAGCGCATTGACGTGCATAACATGTGTGAAGTGTTTCGGTCTGACAACACACTTCGAAAACAAAAAATACAAATTCACTGTGGTTTTCCGCAATTAAAAAAACTGGAGATTAGTGGCGTAATTCTGGCTTCAGATTCGGATTCATCGCATTGACATACATAGAGAAACATGTCAAGTGTTTCGGTCTGCCGACTTCTTTTCTTGTTTTGTGTGCTGGTGTTATTTATGATTTTTATTTTTACCATTATAATTGTTAGTGTAATCACCAATAATGGTCTTCTGTGGTGAATCCCCGATGCAACTGTAACTTTGATGCCAAACTGTTAGCCATTTCTTTTTGTTTTGATAGTTCAGATCCATACGGGCTGATTTCCATAAATTGGGCAATGCACAGAAGTGTTAAAAGGAAGATGTAAATGAATATATTAAAGTTTTTGTATGTGTGTGTTTGTGCGTGTTTGTGTGTGTTTGTGTTATGTCATGTCTTCTGGGAAAATTCTGTAGTACAGTCTTTTAACTTTCAGTTAAGCTTTTATTTTGTATCACTGGGTGCAATTAGTCTGATAGCTTATTTTGCATTGTAGCGTATGAAGAAATAAAACTTTCACTTCTGCCAAGATGGTACTTATAAAAAGCCAAGTTGATCTACATAATTGTGGAATCGACAATTTTGATGCCTATGATGCTACACTTTTTTTATTAACTTTCTTAATGCCTTTTATAAGTATATTTAAACAGTTGTTAGCTGGGATGCTCTTATCACCAGCCATTGTTTCTAAGAAATGGTCTGTATTAACTTGGCTTATTGTAGATTAATTTAACTTGGCTGAAATTTTGCTTTACTAGCTGCTAGCAAGTAAAATGATCTGTTGTTTCAGTAACCATGCAGTGATTTATTAGAACAGTGGCATAAGGCTTTTTGTACACATGTTAATACCAGAAGCATTTCTAATGATTGGCCTATCATTTATTTGTGGCAATACTAAAAATATCAGCATATGAACATTTAGATCTAAAACTACTCTCTTCTGACATTAACAAAACCTCTTTTCAAATGAAAGTTTCAGTATACTTAGCCAAATGGAGTGAGCAGAGTTATCCTTTATAATTTGCACACTATAACACCCTTCTGTAACTTGTATTAACTTGTCATTATGTGCTCTCATGTGTATTTAAAAAAAAAATTGTAATGAAGTTAAATCGCTTTGTGGAACAGAATGGAATGTTACTGGAAAACGACTCCTTTTTGAATGTGGCTGTATCATCAGCAATAGAAGGTTTACAAGATGTTACAGATGATTCAAATGCTCTTCAGACACCTTCAGATAAGTCAAAGGTATGTATTCTATGAACAGGTATTTTAAATATTAATCAGTAAACCATTTTAGTTTAAAGTATTTAAATAATGCACTATTTATGCCATTGTAGTTTGCTATATTCTACATTTTTACATATAAAAAATAAAAAATCATTACAAACTTTATGGGAATACGAATAATAGATAAAAAAATTATTCAGGAGCTAAATGTCAAATGCTTTTCTAATAAGCATAATAATAAATTAAGTACTTAAAAACTGTTGGTGCATAACAAATACTACCTGAATCTATATTCACCTGCTTTTATTAACTTCTTAAGAAATTGACGAATGGAATGTAGAAAAATAAAATGTTTTTTTTTAATTTGATATTAAGTTAGGTGATTAATAAAAAAAAATACTACAAGTCTTTAGAATCAAAAGTAAATTAATTTGTAGAGAGAGTCAATAATAAAGCCATTTGTTATTGTCACTTCATTTCTAATTTACGGATTAATAATATTTAAGAGATCTAGTGTAAGCTTACTTTAGAAGGACCAGAAATGTGATGTACAATGCACAGAAGTGTTAAGAGGGAGATGCAAATGAATGTATTAAAGCTTTTGTATGTGTGTGTCTTTTGAGAAAATTGTGTAGTATAAATCTTCCAAAAGAGATATAGTATTTTACTTCACATGGATGGTACTTATTTGAAATATATTGGAGGTTAGTAGGATTTTTACTATGAGAATAGAAAAATGGTAAGTATTTTGGTTACTTATTTTGTTGCTGTGAATCCTTATTGAGTTGCAGCTTACATTGTACATACTTCATTCTCAACCACACTATAAATGCTATGATTTTTGTGAAAGAATCTAAATCTGATAAATATCTTTACATTGCTGGGGGCACTGGGTATGAATGGTATTAATATTTGGATTGGTAGGAGAACAATACAAATTGCTCCATACTGTAGGTGCATATATGGTAGTTACTTTTCAATTAACAATATGCTAAGATGAGAAGGGTATTTGAAATGGATGGAATATCATCTATTCATTCCGTGAAAGCACATTTTTTTTCAAGACAATTTAAATCATTTTCTCCTGAATTGGATTTGATTATAAATATGTTGTAAAATGAATGATAATTTATCAGAATTGAATTCAAAGTATATTGACTTCTGTAGTATTATAAATGCAGTGCACATCTTGGATTTATGTTACACTTTTATTCAACTTTTGGTGCTAAAAATGTTGCTTTAATCAACTGCACATTGCTCTGTCTTGTATTGTGTGGGTGCCACTGCTTATGGTGGAAGGTTTTATGATGTTTATTTTCTGCACTTTCTCTTTTTATTAATCCATTTAAACATGTGTTTGTTTAACATTTGCATGATGCATTGTGAGTTGCTTGAAGTGTTTTCAAATTGAAATTGATGAGACTAAATCCACTTTAAGTTTTCATCCTGGTCCCTCTTATAATCTCCTTGGTAAGTGGTTGATTGCGTGGTTGGTGCATGGATTGTTTACTTTTCATATTGTATGTATCGACTATCTTCTGGAAGATATTTTGAAGTATGTTCAATTTACACATAAGTTGATAATAACATCTCAAATTCCTTTATTAGTTTCCTGCTCATACTGTTCCATTATTTGGCAAAATGTGTGTGTGTGGGTGAGGACATGGCTATCAAGCAATAATCTTTGCCAAATGAAAAGGCATTTTCACTTGTATGATGGTCTTTAATAATACTCACTTGCTTTAACTAATTTAATAAAAACTTTCAAGTCAAATCATGAAGGAAGGATGACAATAGGAAAGAAATGAGGTGTTTCTGAGGGCTCTATTTGATAAAAAGTATAAATTGCATTGTATGATTAAAATTTCAGTGCATTCTTAATAATGAAAGTTAGATAAGAAGGTGCAGTATTGCCTGAAATACTCTTATTTGGATTGTGAAAAAGCATCCCAACCAATTTTTTAAAAGTAAATAATTGCCACAAGTAATCTTTCATGTGCTGAATAAGAATTGCATTATTGTCGATATTGTAAACAAGTGTAAGTAATTTCTGATAAATCCATAAAAAAATAGGCATTTACACCCCTGATATTCATTGAGAAGAAATATTTTATCACTTCATTAATAGGTAAGTACCTAGATAGCTAATTTTTGTGTATAATTTTGCATGTCTGAAAGATGTGTGTTAATTTAGTGTGCTGTGTCCAATTTTGCAACGTAATAGTTTCTGTATTTTAAAATTATTTGTTTAATTATTGTACTAATTTTTACGTTCTTATTTCTACACACAAAATTCTGGAAGAGCACATTTTCTGCAAGTTTGGGGTGATGGAAAATATTTAAGAGTAATTCTTAAATATTAATGCTTATGTGTGATGCTTCAGTGAGTTTATATGCAGCTCTACCATGTTGCACAGGATTTTTCAGTGTTTGAAAGAGAAAGAAAAGAGAAGAAGAAAAAAAGGGGGGAGGGAAGAAAATTTGATATCGGGTGTTAGCTGGCGGCATAGTTTGCATTGGATAAATTAAAAGTTTCTATTACGAGATGTTTAACTGATATTCCAGAGCAGCAACAGGTTAAAATCAGAAATTGTTTTGTTCTCTTTATGCAGGTTATTGTTACCAGGTGGGAAATAATATATAATACAAGAAGCAAAATGTAATGATTGTTATAGATTATTTTGTTGAATATACTCGTGTGATGTGACTCGTCACCAATTTTATGTAAATCTTATGAGAATAGATGTTTGTTTAGAAATTTAATGATTTTATGTATTATCCTTCTTCATTTCTTCCAAATTTTTACTTCCCTAAATTCAAGTCAACAATGAAGATTATTTTTCTGTAAGAGAAAAGAAAACAGAAGATGCAAACTAATTTCATGTTTCATCCAGTTGGGATGAAGTACTTTTGGTAAAGATCAGTGTTTGTGGTACAAATAATTGATGTGACAAGGTTTTTGTCAGGATGTGATATGTTTGAAATATTGAAAATAAATATTGTGAGAATACACAAATTCAACGTTTATTTCTGTGTAGGACCTACAAGTAGGAATTGACTATTTTATTTTAATGTACCACAAACCAAATGGTAGATAAAAAACAATTTGTGCCAATGCTTGGTATCCAATCAATGGTTCATTTTAGACAATGGAAATCAGAAATAACATCAATACATTGACTTCGTCAGTGTTATCTATTTAATGCATATTCTTAACTTTGTTTCTAACTTTTGTTAACAGTTATGTCTAAATATGCAATTTTCATTATCAATTTATTAAATTGTGGATATTTTTATTATCAGAAAAGTTGAGTACTTGTAACAAAAATTTTATCTGTTGGGCACTTTATCAACTGTGAAGAAAGAAAGGGAAAAAAACAACTAACCGAACAAATTTCATTTGCTTTTGGGAAATTATTGTTGAATTGACGTATTAATTCTGTACTGAGCAATTTGTTAACTTCTAGAAATGTAAGATTATAATGAAGCACTGAAATTAAATCTCTTTTATAAGTGAAATATTTTGTTGTTTATTATAGAGCAAAGGAAAATGTTGATAACTGTTTTCATAAAAAAAAGTGTGTAAATCTGTAAAATAAATGAAAAACGAGAAGGACCGACAGCAATTTTATAGAGCTGATGCTACTGAAACTAGGACATGAAATTTTAAGTATAGGTTTCTATTATGATGTTTGTAACCGCTAGGAAAGGCAGTGCATCCTGCCTTGATCAGATTTTCCATACTCTTTTCCTTGAATGACAAATACTGAGAAGGCCCCTTGCTTTGCGTCTTAACTCCAAATGTAACTACTATCTGCACACATGTTCTCTAGCCAACATTCTGGCGAAGATAAGACAAGTGGGGTGAATTGTTACATCACCAGCTTTTTCAAATGAAATCTTTTGCTCATTTGCTGATGCAAATGGTCACATTACAAGGGAGCTTTGTTATCAGTTGTTGACAACACTCATGTGCATAGTAAAAGTGTGGATACTGGAGCTAAAGAAAATGTGCCTGGTGACTTGCAGTTTTCAACTGTTTCTTTGATGATAAATAAAAATATTTAAATCAACCTAGACTTTGCATATTGCCATTCCTTTTCCTGTTTAATAAATGATTGTGATATTATACTGAGGCAACTGTAGGTTACTTCAGCTAATAGTACATATAATGAAGTAATGTAATTCTTAACTTCTTATGGATAGTAATGCTAGTTTATTTTCCTGTGCAGTGTACTATTATTAGAATTACATTTTGCCATTGTTCAATAGATGGAATGTAAATTGAAAATTCAAATGGTCTTTTGTTTTGTTTTATTTTTTATTAATAATTCATTTTAACGTACACCTTGGTGATTACATTTTTAAGAGTTGTAGTGTATGAAATGCCAGGTAAAAAATATAATTTTCCAATAAAATGCAATATTTTCTAATTTCAATTGTGTTTCTCACACAATTTGTCAGAGGAATTTTAGAAAGAATGTTATTTACAAATTTCCTTCATTATTATTGAATTAAAAGTTTTTAGTCTGTTCTTGTTAACTAGAAACTTTAAATGTGTGACTCACTGTTTTAATGGCATGTAATATGCATGATTGTCAAGGAATTAACCGTTATATGTTTGCATGTTTTGGTAACCTGTGGTATTCTGGGCTATTGATACCAGTGGTAAGTTGACTGACATGCTTGGCATGCTCTGTTCGGTGTCTCTTTCTCATTGATACATAATTATTTAATGAAATTCTTAAAATGCATCTTGTCTAAACAGCCCTGTTTATTCCTTAAATGTGCTCAAGCACTTGGATCACATTCACTATCAGATCAATAACACAGGGGGCATTGAGAAGTTAAAACAGTCATCAAATGAGAGTCTCGTGGTAGGCTGTGCCGTGAAAAGCACTGGTTGTGGAGCGGCAGAGGGGACTTTCGGAAGACGGTTAAGTCAACGTAGCAAAATTTTACTGGCCGTTCTGCCTGTGAGGTAAGCAACCCTGTGTGGTATTTGGGAGAAATATGTT